TATGATTTGTTGTGTAAGTCAATACAATTCCTCCTTTTTTTTGGCTTAAACCAGTTCAAGCTAGATTTCTGTCACTGTAACAAAGCAGTTCTAATTGGATTTTAATTTCATCTAGTTTGTACATTCCTCTATGGAGTGCCAAGTATATGGTGCAGAATTGTCAGATACTACTAATGACTGCAAGCCAGACAATTCTCCATAGACACCTGCTCCCATTTAACTACTCAGACCACAAGTGTAGCTACAAGACAAAAAGGCACAATACAGAGAGACTATCTTCTCAGAGGAAACACTAGACTTCCTGCCTGTAGCAGACATCATTAGATGGTTCACCCAAAACTTTCTCAATCCCCCCTCTCCCTGCAGGCCTGAAGAACCAAAATATTCACTTTCTCAGCTTTCTGTACAGCTAGATAACATAACTTGGGGCAATGAAAGGTATAACAGGAAGGGATTCCTGCACAGTAATTAAAAGTATGGGCTCCCCAAAAGGTTGTGGGTTCGATTTCAGGTCAGGGCACATACCTAGGTTGTAGGTTTGATCCCTGGTGGGGGCACATATGGGAGGCAACTGATCAGTGTTTCCCTCTGTCTGTCCCTTTCTCTAAAAATCAATACATATATCCTTGGGCGAAGATTCAAAAAAAGGATGGGCTCTAGAGACAGAATGCCTATGTTCACTACTGCACTAGGTGTATAAAGTTGGGCAATTTACTTAATCTCTGTTTCTTGGGGAGTACAAGTACACAGATCTTGTGACGGTTGTGGAGATCAGAGAAATTAATAAATGTAAAGAACTCAGAAGAGCATCTGGTATGTGGTAAACACTCTGTGTTGGCAACTGATATTTAATCACCTGTACATGCTAATGTGAAGCAATCTCTAAGATAGATTGTTACGTCAAAGCAGAGAGGGGCAGAACAGCACAGCTCATGTTTCATCACATTTGTATGAATGTGGAGAGGCTGGTTTGTACATATACACATACCTGCTTGTGTATATGCAGACTACCTCTGCCAGGAGAGACCAGAACCTGTTCAGAGTGGTAGCCTCTGGGGTTCTGAACTGGGAGGATTTACTTCATTCATTACATGTCCTTTCTTAACTGGATCAGACTTTTGGAATCATATACTTGAGTTACTTAAAGATTTTCAAATTGTTTTGTTTTAAGAGACTCAACCCTCCCCCTTACTTTGTAGGTTGTTCACCAATAAAATGGACAGTCAAAAATTATGGCAATTATATCTCAATAAAACTGTAAAAGATTACAAAGAAAATGGAAAGTTAGTCACTTACAGTAGCAAGTATTCAAACATAGGTGGGATGGTAATGTTGGACATGTCCTGAAGAGTTCTCTAATGAGCAACAGGTTATATTTCACCAACTCTAACACTCACCTGTTTGGTGGCACAAAAGGAGAAGGGGGCTGGAGGAGAGGCCAGGATATGATCAAAAAAATCATGCAACCATCACTGACTGCTGGTATCAGACAGGATGCACAGCAGGCGTGCTCTAAGGGCAAGCTTGTCCCATCTGAAGAGCATGGGCTGGGGAGCCAGACAGACGTGGCTGTGACTCCTGGGCCAGCCATTTCTTCACTGTGTGCATTGGATCAAGTTATTTAATATTATCATCTGTAAAATGTGAGCCATGAGCAGGCTAGTGAATGTAAAGCCCACAGCAGGGTACTAGGCACATAGTAAAGTGCCTGAGGAATAGATATAGCCATCGCTAGAGGGGAAGAGTGATCACCTTTAAATAACTTGTTTGGTTGTCAATCTTTTTTTTAAATTTATTTTTAGAGAGAGGGAAAGGGAAGGAGAAAGATGGGAGAGAAACATCAATGTGTGGTTGCTTCTCATGTGTCCCCAACTGGGGACCTGGCCTGCAACCCAGGCATGTGCCCTGACTGGGAATGAACTGGCAACCTTCTGCTTCACAGGCCCGTGCTCAACCCACTGAGCTACACCAGCCAGGGCTGGCTGTCAATCTTTTAATGTACAAACATTAAAAAAAAAAATGACAAACCAGAAAGCAGGTTTACACTGAATGAGTGGAGATAATTATATATAGTTGTCAACCCCATAAATGGATACTGAGTCAGTACAGGGCCTGCTAAATCCAAGACTAAACCATGGAGAACCAGAGCACGCACAGGAGAATCAGAGCATTAAGCAAGGCCAACATTCTGAGGACTTCACTTCTAAATCTTCCTTCTAAATCAAGAAGTCAGGGCAGAACCAGGGAGGATTATACTATTAGCCAGAACACAGTAAGAATGGCACTGGGGACTTCACTGACTGCCTGGGACTCTTGTGCCACATAGTGATTTTAAGAGGACCCAGTGTATATATGTGATTGGGCCCAAGTACAGATATTTTGGTCTGAACTGTGAGGTTTACGGCAATTAAAGGGAGGGTTAAATGGTTTTAGGTCAGGGTACAGATATCACAAATGCTATGTCTTCAATGAAATAAGGTATATATAGCTGCCTACAAATACCTTGAAGCAAGGAGTGGCTGCCAGACTTGTCCATCCACGGGAGATTCAAATCTGGGACTTTGCAAAAATAAAATCTGGGTGCTAAGGATCCCCCCTTCTAAGGAAAGCCAAAGGCCCTACAACAGAATGTTAGGAAGTCTTTTCTTAGTCACCCTTGGTTAAAATGACTGTTGAAATCATCTGAGAAAGAAGAGAAATACCACCACCCCTGCTTTCTCGTTTCAGTAGCCAATGCGAATCTGGTCTCTGAAAAGCCGTGAACACTTTTTCTTCATGATTATAAGCAATTGTGGCAACTGGCCAAATATGTTAGCAGCCAGCAAGCTTAGAGCGACCCTGTGAGTGGCGCTCACTGTGGGAATTTATGGCCCTGAGCTGCATACCAGCTTCGTAACCACCATGCTGGGACAGAGTGCTCTGCTCTGCAGCCGGCCTCAGGCAGGCCCCAGCCATCCACAGGACCAAGGGTGGGAGTGTTGGGAGCAGATGATTCTGTGTCCCACATATAATGAATGGTATGAAGTGACTGTTAATAGATACACTTTAAGCAGAGCATTTTGGAGACAACTCTTCCAGACATTCTATATTAAAATCTTAAGAGCTTAGACCAAGGATGATTGAGAAATTCCAAAGAATTAAACAAAAAACCCAACAACAACAAAAGAAAGGATGGGTAGAAGGTGTCAAAGACACAAGAGCTCTTTGTACTTTGTCCCCAGGTTTATCTTAGAGCTCAAGTGAATTCAAGACATGAGGCAGAGACATTAGACCTGTGTCAAAGGCAAAAACTTCTGGTAGTAGCTCTTGGTGACGTCAATCATCAGCTCCTGGGTACATTCTGGGAGCTCCCCTGAGAAGAGTCCTGGGGAAAGAAAGACCTGGTCAACCATGGGAGCCAGGGGAGGCCTGCAGCTCTGAGTCCTGTTTAAACCCCTAGGGGCCCTTTTCTTTAGTCACAAAATGTTGAAATACTAGGTTTTCCATCTTTGGTACTAACAGACTATTTCCACTGATCTTCTAGATGATAGGAATTTTTGTGTTGGGGTAATAAAAAATATTGCTCTCAAAATGGAGAAATCTATTCCCGGTAAAAGACCTTAGTACATTATTGCATGATCTGAAGACTTAAAACAACTCTGACTACACTGGAGGTTGCTCCAGACAAAGACTTGTCCATCCCTTGGATTCTGGTGTGACACTTTCTGGGCAAGCCAAGGTGAACACTCTTGAAGAAAGAAATTGTCCTGTTAACCATACAATGCAATGAATCCAACCAGATAATATATAGGTGGGAGCAGCAGAACAGAAATGTCCTATAGGGAAACAAAAGGTGAACATCATATTGAAGAATATCCGGGAAAGAGACACTCTCCTATACTATGGGTGAAAGTGCAAACTCATACAATTATTTTGAAGAACAATTTAGGAATATCTAGCAAGACTTTTTTTATTTTTTTTAATATATTTTATTGATTATGCCATTACAGTTCTATTTTCCCCCTTCATTCCCCTCCACCCTGCACACTCCCTCCCCCACCGTTCTCCCCCTTTAGTTTATGTCCATGTGTCTCAAGTTCTTTATATTCTATATTTCCCATACTATTCTTGCCCTCCCATGTCTATTTTCTACCTACCATCTATGCTACTTATTCTCTGTACCTTCTCCCCCCTTCTCCTCCTCCCACTCCCCTGTTGCTAACCCTCCATGTGATCTTCATTTCTATGGTTCTGCTCCTGATCTAGCTGTCCTCTTAGTTTGCTTTTGTTTTAGGTGTGGTTCTTAGTAAATGTGAGTTTGCTGTCCTTTCACTGTTCATCTTTTTTATCTTCTTTTTCTTAGGTAAGTCCCTTTAACATTTCATGTAATAAGGGCTTGGTGATGATGAACTCCTTGAATTTGATCTTATCTGAGAAGCACTTTATCTGTCCTTCCATTCTAAATGAAAGCTTTGCTGGATAGATCAATCTTGGATGTAGGTCTTTGGATTTCATGACTTCTTTCAATACTTCTTTCCAGCCCCTTCTTGCCTGTAAGGTCTCTTTTGAGAAATCAGCTAACAGTCTGATGGGAACTCCTTTGTAGGTGACTGTCCCCTTATCTCTTGCTGCTTCTAGAATTCTCTCTTTCATTTTAATCTTGGCTAATATAATTATGATGTGCCTTGATGTGTTCCTCCTTGGGTCCAACTTCTTTGGGACTCTCTCTGAGCTTCCTGGATTTCCTGGAAGTCTATTTCCTTTGCCAGAACGGGGAAGTTCTCCTTTATTATTTGTTCAAATAAGGCTTCCACTTGTGGCTGTTCCTCTTCCCCTTCTGGTACCCCTATAATTTGGATGTTGGAACATTTAAAGATGTCCTGAAAGTTCCTAAGCCTCTCCTCATTTTTTTGAATTCTTGTTTCTTCATCCTTTTCTGTTTGGTCATTTTTTTCCTCTTTCTGGTTCACTCTTTTTTTTTTTTTTTTAAATATTTTATTTATTTATTTTTCGAGAGAGGAGAAGGGAAGGAGAAAGAGTGGGAGAGAAATATCAATGTATGGTTGCCTCTTATGCTTCCCCAGCTGGGAACTGGCCTGCAACCCAGGCATGTGCCCTGACTGGGAATCGAACCGTGATACTCTGGTTCACAGGCCCGCGCTCAATCCACTGAGCTACGCCAGCCAGGGCTCTGGTTCACTCTTTTGATTTGAGTCCCAGTTTCCTTTCCATTGCAATTGGTTTCCTGTGCATTTCCATTCATTTCAATTAGTTTAGCCTTCATATGTTCCTCTAATTTGTGAGTATAATCAACCAGTTCTGTGAGCATCCTGATCACCAGTGTTTTGAACTGTGCATCTGAAAGTCTGGCTATTTCTTCATTGCTTAGATTTATGGGCTCTGGGGCTCTGAGTTGTTCTTGAGCCATGCTTTGATCTGTTCGTGCCTGTTACACAGAGGAGGTGTTCACCAGGGCGGGGCCACCCAGGTTGCTGGTTTGTGATGCTGTATGTGGGGGCGGGGTCAGAAAGGGACAATGGCAGTCCCCTCTGCCACTTTCCGCCACTGGGGCCTGCACGGTCTGTCTCACCACTTCACTCCTTCACCAGTTTATCTGCGCTCAAATGTGTGACTGTGGTCAGCCCTCAGTGGGTCCGCCTGCTACTCCACACTTGGGATCCACCTACGGCTGCCAGTGCAGCACCTGGGTTGCGCACCTGGTCTGCGCTCCCGGGTCCTTCAGGTGGATCTTTCCTGCCCGACCCTGCTCCGCTGCTGGCTCTGCCCCTCTTACTGGTTTGGATGAAGGGTTCGTGGTTGTCAGAGTTCCGTGTAGTTCAATTTTCTGTGGTTTGGCTGTGTTTTTGTTGTTAAAACTTTGTTGTTTTTTAACTTGGATGTGTGAGAAGGCACAGTACTTCCACCTACGCCTCCATCTTGGTGGAAGTCACCCAAAACTTTTAAAATATTTATTTATTTATTTATCTTTAGAAGGGAAGGGAAGAAGAGAGGGAGAGAAATATCAATGTATGGTTGCTTCTCGTGTGTCCCCTGCTGGGAACTGACCCGTGCTAGGAACTGGCCTGCAACCCAGGCATGTGCCCTGACTGGGAATCGAACTGATATCTTTTGGTTCACAGGCCTGTGCTCAATCTACTGAGCTACACCAGCCAGGGCTAGCAAAACTTTTAAAAGTTCATACCTTGTGACCTGACAATCCAACTTCAAGTATCTGTCCCACAGATAATGTTGCCCAATTGAATAGTATATGTACAAGAGCATCAATGCAGCAGTTTCTAATTGCGAATAACCAGGTACTATACAACTTCTAATGACACCCTACACTAGGGCATAGGCTATTTACATTGTGCTGCTTTTAGGCAATGAAAAACACATAACCATTAAAAGGAATAAAGTAAATATCTACATACTGACAAGAAAAAATGCCCGAGATGTACTGTTAAGAGATTGAGTTTCCATACAGAATAAAATATTAGGCTTGTGTTTATAAGCAGCCATGATAGCCTATTACTTCAATCATGTCCATGATCTGCCTGCCTGGCTTCTGACAGGCACCCATTGAAGGAGCCTCTGCCATGTGTGTATGCAAGGCTTTCCCTCATCCCCACACGGTATGAAACCCTGGGCACTCTACTCTGAAGATGGTATCAACTGAAGCATGCTTAAAACATCCACTTAGTTTCATTTTTGCTTCTGATCCTTGATAACTTCCTTATCCAATTATGCATTGAAAAGGATACTTGTTATGTTGTAAACATCATTCTTAGGTACTATGTAGCAGGAGAATTAAGTTAGCTAGACTAATACACTGTCAGAGGCAGAAATTGCATACATTGTTTTAGTGAAGGAAAATAAACTTGAATTTTCATAATAAACACCCACAGTTACCTGGGCAGCCTGAGAAGACAGTGAATGGGGGGACCACAGTCTCTGGGGGTAACACTGTGTTGTCAAGAATTTTGCAGCAGTCTTTCAACACACACCGACGCCCCTGAAATTAAAATCTTATTAATAGGAAATAGATCAGGAAATAAGAGTAAAAGTCTGCTGTATGGAAGGTTATTTTATATTTTCTTCATTTATGGTATCTTACAAAAGCCAGGGACAGTGACGAGAGGCTTGGCCACAATTCCCTACTTTGATGGTATCTGACAAGAAGGAAAAGGTAAGAATGTGAGCATCAGTATGTGTGATTATGTGTATGTGTACATGTGGGGTGAGGGCTGTACGCTAGGGACAATTCAGGTTATCTTAGGCACCATAGACTACATGAAATTCAGTCTTCCAACGGCTCTGTTTAAGTTAATAATCTCTTTTTTGTTAATTTAGTGGACATCTGTTTCACCTGCCCACCATTTGTTCTTTCGTCTTTTAACATAACCTGTATCTCCCTTGAGAACTATCTCTATGCCCAGCTCAGCCCACGTGCTTCAATTCCTATCCCACACTCCAAACCCCAAGCTGGCCACAGTGACTGGCTTAGGGAATTGACACTTGAGCCAAAAATGAGTCTGATGAATATCAATGTTGGGGCTTCAGCTGAGGAACAACTGGGAAAAGAAGCTCTTCCCGATGAAGTTTCTAGAGGACAGGATGGAAGCCGGGAGCAGACATCTTGTTTCCATGAGGAAAGAGCCCTGCCTGAAAGCCTCCCAGAAAAAAACTTTTATGAAAATGGATCCTCATGACTTCTACTGAAACCCTACAGCCACTTGTGCAGGAAATTAGGATTCACTTCTATACTTGTAATTTGTATTAGCCCATTCATCCATCTGAAGGATTAGGCTGAACCTTATGCCTGTGTTTGTCCACTAACACCAATTTTCAGTTCTGCCACCATCCACGGCATTCTGAGGGCAAGAGGTTAACTCTGGGAAAGCCATCTGTTCCATGGGTTAAGGGCAAGGGGAGGCTCCTGTACGTAGTTTAGACGTGTGCTTCAGGCTACCTGCTGTAAGTTTTAGTCTTGATTGACTTGTGTTTCTATCAACAGGACCTGTGATTCATTGTGTTCTGATCAAACGAGCTGGTGCAATATACCTGGTTGAGAATGGGGAACTCCTAACAAATACCAGGACAATTTAACAAAGAATATAAAAGATACTTTCATTTGATTATGTCCAAATTTTCCCCATTAATAAATACCCAAATTAGATGTATTTCCACAAATTTCCAGGTAGGTTGCCAAATGAATTTTTATCTCTAAAAAGCTTATACCTCTAAGGTCTGAATTTCTTAAGCATCTACTAAGTTGTCTCCAGCTGTGTGGACAAAAGCCTTGACAATACTTGGCAACAAGTATTTAGCAACTTTAGCTCAGAAGCAAGTCATTACTGCAGCTATTCACCTTCCTTGCAAAGTTCTCTCCCATGAATTCCCTGATATTGTCAATTAAAAAAAAAAAAACAATCCAGCAGATGATCAGCTCCCTGGTGACTTCCAAATGAACTCAAAGATGATATCTAAGCCCCTAATGACTCAGACTAAGCCCATGGAGCCCTGACTAAAAGGAAAGAGAACATGGTACAATATATTCACACACAGAAATCAGTGCACGGTAGACCATGACAAAGAGGAACAGGGGACACAAATCTTCTGTGTACCACCAGACAGCACACAGCCTGTATGCACCTGCTTTGTGTGCACAGGTTAACCATTCTGGCCGACTCACAGAAATGATGCTCAACTGGGCTTCAGAGCATTCTGGGTAAATGGATCAATTAGATAGCAGCAAAATAAGAAATGAAGGTATTTCTTAGACATAATGGATGGGCAATAGCAGAGAAGGTTAACAGCTGATACTGCTTCTTTATTCTTTCCTGGAGAATTTTCCTGAAGGGGTCAAGAAGTACATGTTGCTAGCATTAAGCTACCTCTATCTCCTGATGCAAGTTCTTCAGCATCTCTGAGCCTTGGTGTCCTCACCTGTGAAACAGGGCATAAAACCAACCTGCAGGGATGCTGTCAGGATTACAGTGGTAAATGAACAACACACAGCACAACATCAGTGCCTACTAATAATGCCTAGTGGGCTTTTCCTGCTGTCACCTGGGCAATTCTGACTCATACCCACAACTTCATGTACCCAAACAGAAGTCAGACTATCACACGGGACGCTGCAGGAAGGATCTGTGTGTCATGAGGCATGCCAGACTCTAAAAGAATTAATTACTGCTAGCTCTGAGATTCTACAATTCTAAAAAAATCTTTCTCCTCACATTACTTGAGGATCTGCAAAGGCTCAGTAAACAAGTATTACTAATACTGAATAATGACTATCTCCTGACAGTGAACTGATATATTGAAAAGTGATTTGAGAATTAGAGCACCTGACCATAGGACTAGAATTCCCCAAGTATTGGGGATAGCATTTGGATTTGAATCTTTCAGATATTTGTTCTAGAAATAAAGTACAGGACTAAAGGACTATGCTGCTACAGTGGTATCTTCCCTTTTTCAAGGGACATACCAGAAAAGCACTGCTGTGGCTTGGAAAGCCAGCTTTTGTCAAACAGAATGAGAGAACAGGGTGGATTTCACCATCTTTCTTTTTTCTTCAACAGCAGGCCAACCAAAAACTTTCTGTCTCTAATTCTAGGCACTCTGGAGGAGAATCATTAGCAAAACCACCACTTCCCTTAATTCTTAGTAACAAGTCAGACTGGAATGTTTTTCCCAGCAATGTGGTTCTCCCATGCACTGTAGCCTTTGCCATGCCCTTGTGGTTCCTGGAATGTTAATTGCACAGTTGCTGGAAGGTTTCTGATACTTGAAGGTTGAAGTCTTATTCAGAGTTGAGAGCCGGCTCTGTATTAATAAGAGTAGCCATTTAAAAACATAAATAAATCTTGGCTTTTTCTAGAATGTGGTGTAGGTACAAATTTAAAGTGTAGAAAATATTTTCCCTAAACACTTTAGCAGTTTAGTTCTGATAGTTAACATTCTTATAAATCCTAACAAAAATCAAGTTCTTCATCTATGAAAATACTAAGAAACCTAATCTTGTAAAGCTTAGTGGGATCAAAATGATGCTAAGGCTTCCATACACCAGGGTCCTACAGGTTCTACTGAGCAAAGGGTTCCTGTGCACCTTGCATGCCCATTATCCTCAACTACCTATAATTCCCATGAAGTCATGTCATGTGGTAACTCTGAGCCTTATATATGCCAAGCTCTTAACTGAAATGCCCATACTCCTCCTGTCTATGAGCCAATTTTGCCTCACCCTTCACTCACCTGTCATCCCACCCGACTATCAGATCCATGAGGTAAAGCAACAAGTAGGCCATATGGCAGCATGACCATTCATATTGCTGGGTTCAAATCCCAGCTCCACTTAATAGCCTCATCAATCCTCTGATATCTAAGGTCTTCAGTCTCCTCATCTATAAACAGGGATAACAACAGCACCTACCATCCTCAGATGGCTGTAAGGAATAAATGGAAAAATCGAAGGAAAGAGTTTAACATCATAGGAAAGAGGTTTGATAAAGATTAGCCATGACTATAAATGCCTAGGAAAAAGCTCCAAATCCAATATAATGCCAGTAGACCAGAAACTACTTCTACCCTGTCTGGTCAGAGAAGCAGATGTTCACAGATGTGAGGGACAGGAGCTAGAGAGGAAGTGAGGCTGCTTAGCCAGCCAAGTCACCATACTCACAATCACACAGTTCTTGCCAACATGAACGTAAGAGCCAATCTGAGCTGCGTTGACCACACAATCTTCCTCAATAAAAACATGGTCCCCGATATGTAAAGGGAAGAATGCAACACTACAGAAAGAAAAGAAGATGAACAAAGAAAGGTCAAGGTAATGTATTCCTCGTCAAGGCTTACAGAACTACAAATCCTAAACTCAACTTCAACATCTTGTCTTAGTAAGACTGTTCCTAGCAAGGAAGGAATCCTCAGGCTAGGGAAATTGTATAATTCCTCTAGCTCAAAATCAGAAATATTAGAGCAAGGAAACAACAAGGCAGAAGGGGCACAATATTTTATGCTAAAAGAACTGGCACCAAATACAAATGAGCGAATGAATGTGTGCTCATCCCTGCTTCCTTTGAAAATGCTCACAGGTCACATGTTTAGTCATCTGCTCTATAATATGTCAGGGGCCGGACATCAAGTTTGTGGGATATAAATTCTAGTACCCAATATTCTGAAAATGTATACACTCATTCATTTTATTGAGTGTCTATTGTATGCAAGACTCTATGCTAGGAAATGGGAACACAATGGCAAAGATAAGCAATTCAATCCTGCCCAAGAGCAGTTTACAATCAAGAGAAGAAATGAGATTAAATAAGTAATTATACAATAAGTAGTTAGTTACACAGTGGAAAAATACCATGTCATGTGAGTATATAAGGAGTCTTGACCCAGAATGGAGGTTTGGTAAAAGCTTAATTGAAAGTGACATATAAGTCAAGACTTGAATGTGAGTTACTACCAGGATTCAAGTACCATGGAAAGTGGTTCATGATCATATTTACAAGTAATTTCAGTACCTTGGGATGGAAAAATATTTGGACTGGAATGAATATTTTGTCAGATATAATATCTGTCCTCCAAGGACCTATAATTTCTTTAAATTTTTCTTAATTCCATCTTATTTTTAGTCTGAACACCTTGTGAGGCAATGAAATCCTTGATCTCATTACAGTCTACGGGAGTACTACCAGTTCTTTAATCTTAATTAAAAATTCCAAACTTTATACTATTATCAGGTTCTAGTATTGGGACATGCATATGCATGGGAAGAAACCCATATCACCCTCTATTCAAGAGTTGTCACTATTTACATTTTCATATTTCTGTATTTCTCATGTGGACCATTCTTATTTACACATCCCTTCAACGCACCAATAACCCCTTCTAATATGTCATACTCTATGCTAGGAGCTAGGGCTACAGTGGCAAGGATAAGCAATGCAATGTTCATCCTTGAAGCTTTTCTTAGACTATATATCTAGTCCAATAATGACTTTAGCAGAAGGTAAAGTCATTACCTTCTGCTAGAAGTACCTCTAGCAGAGTTATCAATCACTGCATGAAACCACAAAAGGGAACCTATGACAAGGTTTTCTGGTTTCCCCCAATAGCCTACTGAGCTAATGAGGGAATGGTTTCCTGTGAATGATTTAGAGTGACTCCCTGTTCCAATCTCTGTATATCATGGAAAGCCTGGAGCTGAACATTATGGGAGATGCAGGATTATTCCTGTATGATATACTCCTAGGTATTAGAGTTAGTCTGAGTTAGCTACTATCTTCTCTGTTCATCCCTTACCTTGTTCATACCAATGTGAAAGGAGTATCACATTATATAGTGGCAATCACATTATAGTATCATATTATATAGAAGCTATGTGTTTATATAAATGTTTCTACCACAAGTTTGAAGAACCTTGAGGCAGGAACACTATTTTATCCATCTTTATATGCCCTGCTTATAACTTAGTGCTTGTTGAATCACTGGATGAAATGCTGGTGGTGTCACAGGTAGAAACCAGGAGAGTAAATAATTCAAGGGGAAGACAGGCAAAGAGAATACCACCACAGCAGGTATAATAGTCAGTTTTCCTGTACTGTCCATATCCTTTCTTGGACAATCCTTATTTCCGCTGTGAGATCAGTGGGCTGACTTGACATGCCCGCTGGGTTGCAGTTGTTTAGACTAGGAGTGGACACTTAACTCATGCTAAGCCAATCAGATTCCCTCTCCCATGAATTTGAAATAAGACCTAAGATCTATAGTTGGTATCTGTTGGAAGTCTAAATGGAAAAATGATATAAATAAGGGGCTGAGACAGAAAGATTGGCTCCAGGAGGAAAGGGGGAAGACACATCCAACCAGAGGGAGGAGAGGAAAGGTACAGAGAAGGACAGATAAGAGACAGTATAATTTTGGATAGAGTGGGTACTGGATATACAGAATAACTGTCTTGATCCTGGCTAGGTGACTAGTTTTGAAGTCTAGCCCCTCATAAGGCCTCTCATAAGGCTTGGCCTCTTTTTCTACCCTCAGGTGCCATCAAATAGTCCTATGACTGTTTCATAAGAACCCCTTTTGCTTTTGCCAGTTGAAGTGGGTTCCGTTTCTGGCAACCAGCCAACCTCACCTAGACTAGGGTGAATACCACCTGAGTTGTGCTCATTATGGTGAATTGTTACTCAGTGTTCCCCCAAACAGCACAGACCCACTCCTTACCCCATAACTCAACAAATGGATAACACCACCTGTAGCAGCAGCTTGCCCAAGAATGAAACAAGATAATTAAGTTACATACCCTTTGCTGAATTTCTTAAATGGTGGCCTTATGACACTCCGACTCTTCACAACACAATGACGTCCAACTCTTACATTTGCCAGATCCCCTCGGATAATACAGTCATTCATCACAATGGTCTATAAAACAAAGCACACTTAAAAATTATCAACACAGATGAAAACAACAACAACAAAAACAGTAGGTAACAAGACACTGCCTGAGACTTATGCTTTGATCTACTGAGTCACTTGTAAAGTTAAATCCTTGTTTAGACTCTGATGTGAACAAACCAACTACAAAAGAAGATCTTAAGATACTGGAAAGACTAAATATGGACTGAGGATTAGAATGACACTAGGGAATTACTTGTAAGAGAATTGCCCTCATAACACTGACTGCATGGATTACTGTTAAAGTTTGGTCTCGAAAGCCATGGAGAGTGACTTTTATTTGTGTTACTACATGGGTCACAAAGGCAAGTTCAGCCACAAATTCTTGGAATTTGAGTTCCAACCCAGTGGGAAATTGACATATGCCAAATACGGCATTTACAAAAATGATGCCATGATCAGAAAATGGGCTTACATACATACAAGTGTGATGGAGGAACTGAAGGAAATAATGGATGACAGCAAGATTACCAAAAGAATGATGCTTTGTGGTTTCCTCCTGCCCGAGTGGGCTGGTAGGAACTTAAAGTTGTCATTGGAGATAAACACATTTCTTTCACAACACCAAAAACTGGTTCCCTTATTGATGTTAATTGATCCAAGGATCAGAATACTTACATGGATTTTATTATTTTGTCTAGGGCCTGAAGTGTTTGGTCTTCAGTCTTACTGGATTACACTTCAAGATTAAACTAATCTAGATTGAATACTGGTATGGATGCAAGAGGGTGGGAGTAGCTGTTTTTAATTACCATTATCAGGAAATTTTTGTGTATACCAGGTCAATATTTTTATACACTATAAAAGACTATCTTTAATAAATACATAACAAAGTACAATTTTTATTGTTTTAAAAAGATCTAAAAGTGTGAAAAAAAAAAGCTGTGTGCAGGTGAAGATGTTCCCCTTACACTACAAGCTTTACCCTGATCATCCTATAAATAGGTCTCACTGGATGAACAAAGATTAATTGGGAACACCTCTAGTAGACTTAAGTTATGCACCTCCTCAGATTTACTCAGATCCACCTATCCCCAGGCTGTGGCTGCTTGCTCAGTGAGAGTCCTGGCTGCTACTGCCTTTGTCTTACCTGGTAACACAACTACCTCCAACTTCTTACTCCCAGAGGTGGACTCAATGAGATTCTGGCTCCTCTCCCAATTTTTGGCCTCAGATTAAGTTCTACACTGCAGGGTGTGGTATCTGGCTTCCCCAGAGACTGCCCAGAGGGGCTAAATAACACCACTCAGAAATTTGAAGGAACTAATTCCCATACTTGGTAAAGAATCTGAATTATAGGGGTACCAGAAGGGGAAAAGGAACAGCCATGAGTGGAAAGCTTATTTGAACAAATAATAAGGGAGAATTTCTCCGTTCTGGCAAAGGAAATAGACTTCCAGGAAATCCAGGAAGCTCAGAGAGTCCCAAAGAAGTTGGACCCAAGAAGGAACACACCAAGGCACATCATCATTACATTAGCCAAGATGAAAATGAAGGAGAGACTACTAGAAGCAGCAAGAGATAAGGGGACAGTCACCTACAAAGGAGTTCCCATCAGACTGTCAGTGGATTTCTCAAAAGAGACCTTACAGGCAAGAAGGGGCTGGAAAGAAGTATTCCAAGTCATGAAATCCAAAGACCTACAACCAAGATTACTCTATCCAGCAAAGCTTTCATTTAGAATAGAAGGGCAGATAAAGTGCTTCTCAGATAAGATCAAATTCAAGGAGTTCATCATCACCAAGCCCTTATTATATGAAATGTTAAAGGGATTTATCTAAGAAAAAGAAGATAAAAAAGATGAACAGTGAAAGGACAGCAACTCATAGTTATTAAGAACCACACCTAAAACAAAAGCAAACTAAGAGGACAGCTAGATCAAGAGCAGAACCATAGGAATGAAGATCACATGGAGGGTTAGCAACAGGGGAGTGGGAGAAGAAGAAAGGGGGAGAAGGTACAGAAAATAAGTAGCATAGAGAGTAAGTAGAAAATAGATAGGGGGAGGGCAAGAATAGTAGGGGAAATATAGAATCTAAAGAACTTGAGACATGTGGTCATAAACTAAAGGGGGGAATGGTGGGGGAGGGGGTGTGCAGGGTGGAGGGGAATGAAGGGGGAAATAGAACAACTGTAATAGCATAATCAATAAAATTTTAAAAAATAAAAATAAAACAAACAAAAAGAATATGCATTCTTGAAATATCTGTTGAATAAATGAATGAATGTGGCAAAAGAAAGAATGGATATGGCTGGGATTGCAGCTGGAAATGTAAACAAGGGACCAAATCATGAGGAATTATGTACACTGATCATAGAAGCTTAGATTTTTTTTTTCTTAGAGGATATATGTAAAGAATCAATGATGGGGGGAAAAGGCAGAAAACTGTACTTGAACAAAAACTGTATTTGAACTGTAGTTAAAAAAATAAAATGTAAAAAAGAGAATCAATGAAAGATATTAAGCTGATGATTTAAACAAGTGAATGTTCCTTTTAGAAACATTACTCTTGAAGCAGTCTAATGTCTGAATGAAGGAGGCAAGAACTTTTACTGGAGGTAAAGTGATCCTTTAGTTGACTACAGTTGATGAAGGTAAAAAGAGATAATGAACCTTATTTAAGGTAGCTGTGCATGAAAAAGAAATAAATTGGAGGTACAGGAATCTGACCAAGCCTCCAGATCTAACTACCAATTTACGGGGGGGGGGCGGATAAAGACCTCATTAAACCACCCCATGCAATTATAATCAGCCAAATTCAGAAATCTGAAAATCCTACAGAAGAGTGATCTAGTTTCTTCAATATAAAAATGGCAAGGGGGTAAAGAAAAAGAACTGTGACAGATTAGACTTAAGAGACATAGTAACCAAACACAATGCGCACTTGACCTTGTTTGGATCCTGTCTTAAACCAAATGTAGAAAAAGATCTTGAGATACTAGAAAGACTGAACATGGACTGAGGATTAGATGATATTAGGGAATTACTGGGTTTTAAAAAAATTATAACTAAGGTTCTCTACTATTTAAGTCTTTAAATATTAGTGAAACATTCAAAGTATTTATGGGTGAAGTATATGATGCTTGCAATTTGTTTTAAAATAGCCCAACTCTCTTCCCCAACCTTGGGTTTGGGTAGGGTCAGTACAGAGGGGAAATAAGAATGTCAGAATCTTGCTAATTGTAGAAGCTAGTGAATTCATTATATGTTCTCTCTACTTTTGTTCATGTCTTAAAAGTTCCATAATAATACTGCTCATATAACAAGGAATGAACTACTAATTCACTAATATGTGCAAGAACATGGGTCAGTCTCAGTAACCTTATGCTGAGTGAAATAAGTTCATATATCAAACATTACATGATTCCAATCACTTGAAATTCTCAAAAATGCAAAACTAATCTATATTAGTTTTACATCAATGGTTACCTGGGGCCAAGGACAGAAGGAGGATTCACTGCAGAAGGCACAAGGAAACTAGGGTGATGAAAATATTTTATATTTTGATTGTGGTAATGGTTGTGTAGCATCAGTCAAAACTTATCACCCTGCCAGTGTGGCTCAGTTGGTTGGAGCATCATCCCATAGACCAAAAAGTTGTGGGTTCAATTTCCAGTCAGGGCACATGACCAAGTTGCAGGTTTGATCCCCAGTTGGGGTCTGTACAAAAAAGGCAACCAATAAATGTTTTTCTCTCACATTGATGTTTTTCTCTCTCTTCTCTTTCTCCCCCTACCATGCTCTCTAACAGCAACGAAAAAAAATGCCCTCAAGTGAGGATAAAAAAATAAAAATAATAAAAATACTTGCCATACTACACACTTAAAATTGACACTTTTAGTGTATGTACATTATACTTCAATAAAAATTTTATTAAATGTTACATTATAAAATGTTAAAGAAGGAAAGAGAATCTATACAACTTAGTCATTGTTTAGATTTTGAGGGTAAGAAATCCTAGAATGGGGTGAGTAATCAGGAAACCAGACAAAAAATTCCTTTGAAATGTAGACTTTGAGATATCAATGGGGATGACCCACAGGCAGTTCTAAATAAACATGTGGGGCCCAGGACAGAAGGTCATGCTAAAGAGGCAGATGGAGACACCTTGCTTATAGGTGAATTTAGATAAATTATTGGCCTTAACACCAGGCTCTGACAGGACACTAAAAGGGAAATAGAATCATACCTGGAAGAGTTTACCAATCTCGTCTGCTTATGTTCTGTCTATAAAACATCTACCAGTGGGGAAAGAGGGTAGGAGGAGGTAGAAGAGGGTTTAGGGGAGATAAATTTCAATGGAAAAAATACAATAAAAAATAAACTATTAAAAAAACTACCAGTAAAAAGGAACTTTCACATCTGCTGATTGTAAAGCACTGCAGTTCTTGGTTTTTAAAAGCTATCTTCTTCAAGCTAAAAGAGAGATCTATTTCTAGTATATACTTCTTTTATCTGAGAGACTTAATTTACTTCAATCACTGTTTTCAGTTTATGTGTCCATCTATAATCAGAGAAAATGACTGTCTTTGCTTTCAGAAGAAAACAACATTCCAAGAGTTCTGTGTGTTTGGTAATGGGTATTGTCATTTTATTGTGTTTTAAATAAAGATAACAATCATAATGTGGAAATAAAGAAAATCCATGTACGTTCCTCTGTCAGCTTAAATTACACTCCCAGTGAAGAAGCAAACACACAAATAACATAAATAGTAAATCATATTACAAGTGGTCAAAGTAATTTAGCAAGAATAAATCTTGGCTTCCTATTTATAAAGGGTGGAGCTAAAGAAGAGAAGTGATTCGAAATTGAAACAACAGTGTATTAAAATGGAAGGAGGTGCCAATGAGGACCTTACAGGGAAGAAAATGGTACTGAAGCAGAATTCACTGCACTGAATAGGTATAAGGCAGAGGTGAAAATTGGAGGTATAAGGATAGCACCTGGAAATCTATTTTGTTTGGCCCATGCAACATTTTTATCATTTAAATTTGCTGTTATTATTTGAAGAGTGGGATGCTTTACATTACAAAAATCCAGATTTCTAGTTTCTTTTGAGAGAATCAGAAGCTCTGGAAACATAGGCCTATTTTCTCACTTACAACAATCAGCTTGGGTTTAGCTAGGTCATGTATTCTCCCAAGTTACCAGGCCCCATAACTCTGTTGTTTACACCCAGTCTTTTTTACTCATTTGATGGCCTTATACTTCAAAAGGCACTATGACATCTGATATAAGCTCAGAAAAACAGAAATGTCTTATTTCTAAAAGGGACAGGAGCTGAAAACATATATGGATTGTTTGTAATAGCAAAGAAACAAAATAACTATCCACCAAACAGATGAAGGAAATAAATTTTCACAGCAGTGAAAATGCACAAACCATGTGAATCTTAGAAACAAATACTGTCATATAAGTGTTTTCTGTTGTCATTATTATGATAATTACATGTAAAAAAGTCATAGAAAACTAAGTAATGCTAAACAAGCCTTGTATATATCATTTAGGGATACATATGTATATGGTAAAACATATTTTAAAATACAGAATTTGTATGACACAACATTCCGGATAGTGGTTTCCTCTTGGAAGGGGGCAGAAGAAAGAGACAGGAGAGGAACATAAAGGTAGTACCTTATTATACACACTATTATACATGCTATGTTCCAGTTCTTCAGTTGGGTGGTGGGTTCATGGTATTGACTTAATTTTTATGTTTTATAACAATACATTATATATTACTCTTATGTGTACACTAAATAGTACCAAATAAAACACCTTTTTAAAAAGAGATAGATGGGATTGCAGGACAGAGGGGGTAAAAGGGGACTAAATGGCAATGGAAAAAAGATACAATAAAAAAAATAAATAAAAAGAAAGAGATGGCCCAAACAACCAAAACAATCTTGAAAAAAGGACAAAGTTGGAGGATTCATATTTTCTGATTACAAAATTACTACAAACCTACAATAACAAAAGCAGTATTGTACAGGGTACTGACATAAGGACGGACATATCAACCAAGGGAACAGAACTGAGACTCCACAAATAAACCCATACATCTATGGCCAATTGATTTTCTACATGATGCCAAGACCATTTAATGGAGAAAGGATAGTGTCCTTAACAAATGGCAGCAAGACAACTAGATTTTCACACCCAGAAGAATTAATTAATTAGGACCCCCTACATCACACCATATACAAAAATTAACTCAAAATGCACTAACAACCTACATACAAGAACTAAAACCACAAAACTCTCAGAAGAAAATACAAGAGTAAATCTTTGTAACCTTGGGTATGGTAATGGATTCTTAGAAATGACACCAAAAACTTGCGCAAAAGAAAAAAATAGATAAATTGGACTTCACCAAAATTAAAAACTTTTATGCATCAAAGAACATTATCAACAAAGTTGAAAGAGCCCTGGCCAGCTAGCTCAGTTTGTTAAGAGTGTAGTTCTGACACTCGAGGTTGTGGGTTCGATCTCTGGTCAGGGCACAAATAAGAAGCAACCAATGCCCCATCCAAGAAGCCCAGATGGCTGGGGCATTGTCCCATACACCAAAAGATTGTGAGCTCAAATCCCAACCAGGGCACATACCTAGGTTGCAGGTCCAAACCCTGGTTGGGCAAAAGTAAGGCAACTGATAAATGTTTATCACATCAATATTCCCCCCTCCACCGCTTTCTCTCTCTTCCCCCTCCCTCCCTCCATCTTTCTCTAAAATCGTTAAACATATGCTTGGGTGAGAATTACATTTATTTATTCTTTAAAGGTTTCTTGTTTTTAAAGAGTTTTATTTATCTATTTATTTATTTACTTACTCATTTTTGGAGAGGAGAAGGAGGAAGAAAGAGAGGAAGAGAAACATCAATTTGTGGTTGCCTCTCACACACCCCCTACTGGGAACCTGGTCTGCAACCAGGCACGTGCCCTAGACTGGGAATCAAACCAGTGACCCAGGCTGGCATTCAATCCACTGACCCACACAAACCAGGGCAAGCATTAAATTTTAAAAAAAGAAGCAACCAATTAATGCACAAATAAATGGAACAACAAATCAATGTTTCTGTCTCTCTCCCTTTCTCTCTCTAAAATCAATCAATAATTAAAAAAAAATACCTGCCTGGTGTGGCTCAGTGGATTGAATGCCAACCTGAGAACCAAAGGGTTGCCAGTTCAATTCCCAGTCCAGGGCATATGCCGGGGTTGCGAGCCAAGTCCCCAGTAGGGGGCGCACAAGAGGCAACCACACATTGATGATTCTGTCCCTTCCTTCCCATCTCTAAAAATAAATTAATAAAATCTTTTAAAAAACAAAGTGAAAGATAATCTCAGAGTGGTAGAATTTATTTGCAATCATCTATCTGATAAAGATTTAATATCCAGAATATATAAAGAACTACAACCCAACAACAAAAAGACAGCACAATTTAAAACTGGGCAAAGGACTGAACAGACATTTCTCCATAGAATATATACAAATAGCTAAGCTATTTAAAGCTATTCATCATCATTAGGGAAATGCAAGTCAAAAGCTACAATGAAATACCATCCATACCCACATTCAAAAAACAGAAAATACCAAGTGTTAGTGAAGAAGTGAAGAAACTAGTACTCAGCTGCATTGCAGATGGGAATGTAAAATGATTCAGTCCTCATGGAAAACAGTTACAAAGTCACAAAGCTAAATATAGAATTACCATATGACCTAGCATTCCCACTCCTAGGTATATACCCAAAAGAACTGAGAACAGGTACTCAAATAGATACTTGTACACCAATGTTCAGAGAAGCTTTACCCACAATAGCCAAAAGGTAGAAACAACCTAAGAAGTGTTCAACAAATGAATGGATAAACAAAAATGTGGTACATACATATAATAGAATGTTATTCAGCCAGGAAAAGGATATGTGCTACAACATGGATGGACCTTGAAAAACTTATGCTAAGTAAAGTAGGCCAGACTTCCCCCCAAAAAAGATACACAAATACTATATGATTTCACGTAAATGAAATATCTAGCATAGGCAAATTCCTGATCATGTTATCTTCCCTGCCAGGTAAGCATAGAATAGGCAAATTCATAGAAACAGAAAGCAGACTAAGGTTACCAGGGACTAGGGGAAGATGGGAATGGGGAGTTATTCCTTAATGGGTAGAGTTTCTATTTGGATGATGAAACAGTTTTGGAAACAGATAATGGTGATGGTTGCACAACATTGTGAATGCAATTTATGTCAATAAATCGTACACCTAAATATGATTAAAATGGCAAATTTTGTTATATATATTACTAGAATAAAAATAAAATCTTCCCTAGAAAAATCACAGAAAATGTTTTAGAATTAGCTGAAGGATTTCCAAAAAAACCTCTGTGCATTTGCTGGTGTATCAGATGAAGTTAAACTAATTTCTCATTTCTGGGCAAAAATGGTGTGTCTACAATTACTAATTATATCAAGTGAACTATATTTCTTTTTTTAAAGATTTTATTTATTTATCTTTAGAGGTGAAGGGAAGGAGAGAGGGAGAGAAATATCAATGTATGGTTGCCTCTCATGAGTCCCCTGCTGGGAACTGGTCTGCAACCCAGGCATGTGCCCTGACTGGAAATCGAACTGCAATACTCTAATTTGCAGGCCTGCACTCAGTCCACTGAGCTACACCAGCTGGGGAGTGAACTATATTTCTTCTCCATTAAATCTCAGGATATGATGGGCTAATGGAGAAAGTAATTGTGTCTCTACTGAAAATATTTGTGATCTCTTGATTATGGTGAGACCATTTTCCCTCTGGAGGTTAGAGATCTAACATTTCAAGGAAAACTGAGTATTCCAGACAGCAGGAAACACAGACTCAATCTCAAATATATCTTGATATTTTCTGGTTCTGAAATGTTCTAATATTATTCCTAAGTTTATACTCATCTAGATCTCTGCTACTTCAATTTATTTAGACTACAAGATTCTGAGCCTTTAATATTCCACTTTAGAAATTTGTATCAAATTTTACTATCTTTCTACATTCTCATATTTTAAGAGTTTCCATTAATAATGAATTATTATTATTTAACAGATAATTATATTAATGTAGTATTACTTTAGTTTCTACACTAAAATAGTTTGTTATCTATTTATGTTTTATGTTTGGTAGTTCAAAACTATGTAATAATTTCAGCTCTGGGTACCACTGCATTGTGCTCCTGGTATGTAAGGAAAAGGACTTTCTGCTGGCTCTTTTTATTGACTCTCTTTTGTATTTAATAAATCCAACTTGGAAAGTTAAAAACAAGAGAATTTTTAAGTGTACAGCAATAAATAGGAAACATGGCAACATTTTATCTGCCCTGCTAATGTGATAATTTGTGAAAAGAAAGCAACAGTATGCATCCTGGAGGTGGCTTTATTCCTTACCTTGCCATTGAGAACGATGTTCTGACTTCCGCACAACACTGACTGGCGACTAACTTTGTTCCCAGAAGCCTGAAAGCAAACAGCAGGAAATGAGGGGGAGCAAACTGAGTGGGTTTCTTCATCATATGGAGAGAAAAGGACTTGAAATGGCATGCAGTGTACACTGGGATGAGTCCAGAATTTCAGTAAAGAAAGGATGAATTAGGAAACTAGAGATTCAAATAATGGATTCAGAATTTGGATGTGGTGAGTCTGTCTATAGCCTACTGACATCAGAGACATGGATTCAAGTCCCAATTCTATACCTCGATTTTAAAACCCTAAAGCCAGGATAATGACTTCACCAGTATCACAGAACTGTGGGAATTCAATGAAAAGCAATAGTAGTAACACTGAGCAACTTACAGACATCATGTATTGACTATAAAGAACCTAACAATCTTTAGCACATAGTAATACATTATGATAGGTTTGTTTTTTTTTAATAGTTTTTAAAAGCCGGAATGTAATTAATATTAGGATGGACGACACTTGTCCTGCTTTCTGAAAACCATTTTATCTCCACCAGGAAATCAGGATTAAAATGAGAAAGCCTAAACTGATCATTTAAAGAATAAACAACAAGGCCAGGCCATACACGCCCATACATGCCACAAGGACCCGCCGGGGTGGGTCAGACACAAGATGGGGCACCGGCCCCAAAGGGACACAGGCTTGGAAAGGCAGGACTGATGTGCAGACACGCACGCACCGTCTCGATGTACTCGGACTTGTTGTAGAGCAGCTCGCCCAACTCCATAGCCACCAAGTCCTTTCAGCAGCTCCAGCCAGCCCCTGTCACACACCGTCAGCGCGTCTGTCAGTCCCGGATGCCGGCTACTTCCGGCAAATCCTGCACTTCCGCTCCCAGGAGGCCGCGGGTGTCATCCACAGCTCAACTCACCGCTAGGCGGCCCAGCTCCATTGTTTTACTGTGCCTGATTGCGCATGCGTAAACTGAACCTTGCCCACCATTGGCCCGGTAGACCGTGCGCGGGCAGTGCTTGGGCCAGCTGTTCGCGCGCGGAGAGGGTCCGGGCGCCCATTCCTTCTAGAGGTGCCAGTGGGGCCCAGGGCAAGCTGTAGTTTTCCTATCCACAGCTCCCGGACGGCTGCTCTTTTCGATTCGTTTGCAAGGGCGATGGAAGAGGCTCCCGGGAAACTCCTCAGCTGCGAGGAGAAGGAAAAGGTGTCGGGTGTACGGGAAGGGCTGACTCCGAACTCTCACACCTCCCCAGGATTGTAGGCCGGCAGTCTCGGGCTGCCCTGACCTCTATCTAACCTACTCTCTTTCAACTCGGGGCTCCCAGGGAGTGAAAGCGTAGAAGAGTGCAGTGCTCGCCTGGTAGTGTTTAAAGAACACATTTGTTTAAAAAGTTTTTACAGCAATAATGCGTAAATACAAAATACAAAACTGTAGATAAAACTAAAGTTCCCATTGACACGTTCTCTGCCCCGACACACTCTCGGTCTTGGCTCCTCCTAGCCCGCCCCTTAAGTCTGTTAATAGTCTGGTGGGGAGTGCGGAGGGGCGCCGTTGTATTCTCTAACCACCAAAAAGTGATGTGTAGTTTTTCGAAAGAAGAATGTTTATATATGGTAAAATCTTGATGGTTCTGCAGCTTCTGTTTTCCTTCTCCATGTTTGATTGACATCTGTGTTAGTATATGTTTATCGACCCTGTTTTTTAAGTTCTGTATAGTGTTCTGTAGTATGGAAGTACCATGGTTTCTTTAGTTATTACTCTGCTGAGAGACATGTGGTTTCCAGCTTTTGTTTCTACGACAGTTGTTTCTACAACAGTGTTGCTCTAGCCATCTGTATTTATGCCACCTTTGTTTATGCTGGTATAAGCTAGAATTAACAAGGTATCTTGTGCTGGCTTTGTTCCAGGTTTTGTGCTACACTCTTCATTCACATTAACCAACAGTCTTCTTATCCCAGCCTACCTTCTAGTGGGGGTGAGAGGGGCATTTATAAGTCGAGGTAATTCACAGATACTTGATAAGCCTGGTGATTAATAGGACATCTTGAGAAGCAGTCTAGCAGAGAGTACAGACTCTAGAGCTGGACTGCATGGGTTTGAATCACATACCATCTATAAACTGTGCGATCTTGGGCAAGGTGATTTCCCTCTGATCTCCCCTTGCCATCTCTGTCCTCTTCCAGGTCTAGGTTCAAATGTTAGTCCTCAGAAGTGATCCCTGGCCACCTTATGTAAAGTAATCCATTCCCATAACTCTGGAGCTCTCACCTGATTACTGTGTGAAATCCATTTATTTGTTTTCTTTTTTTTATTATTTTTAAACATTTTATTCATTATGCTATGACAGTTGTCCCATTTCCCCCCTTCACTCCCCTCCACCTTGCACACCCTCTCCCACCCACATTTTCTCCCTTTAGTTCATGTCCATGGGTTGTACATATAAGTTCTTTGGCTTCTCCCTTTCCTGTACTATTCTTATCCTCCCCCTGTCTATTTTCTACCTACCATCTATGCTACTCACTCTGTGTACTTGTTCCTCCCTCTCTCCTCCTCCCACTCCCCTGTTTATTTGTTTTCTTGTTTATTATCTGTGTCATTATACGTAAGCCTGACCACTTTGTATATTTATCACCTGGAACAATAGCTGATAGCCTTACATACTAATGCAACTATGTTCCCAGGTGGTGGAGATAGAGATACCTGGACCAATACCTGAGAAATAAGAGTTTCATTTTCCAGGTGAATGTCTGAGGGTAACAGCTTCTGCTGCCTTGGAGGATCTCACAGTGAGAACGAGGGGTGGGGGAACGGAGAAGTAAACAGATAACAAGGTATAATAAGTACTGTGATAAAGGAAACAGAGAAGAGATGGAGTGTCTAATCTGGATTGAAAAAGGACCAGGAAAATAAAAATCTAAACTGAGGCGTGAGGAATCAGTAAAAATTAGCAAAGTGAGCTGGGGAGGAAATGCTCCAGGTGATAAAAAAACAGATTGTGCAAAAGTACGGAGACAGGAGAGGACTTGGTGCTTTGTGAGAAGTGAGAGTAATGTGGGCTGGTGCCATTCCCTGCACTGCCTCTTGCTGAGGGACCAGCTGAGTAGCTCACACTCGTGTCTAATAGGCACTGTACCCCTTTTCACTGCTCACAGTACTCTTTTCATTGCTCAATATTGTCTGGTATTGTTGTTCTTCCAGTTGAAGGAAAAATTAGCATTCTTGAAAAGGGAATACAGCAAGACCCTAGCCCGCCTTCAGGTAAGTGAATCTTATTCTCTCAAACTGGGGTTTTATAGTACAAACTACAAAAACATTTCTTCATAATAATGAAGCTTTAAAAAATGTTTTTTCTCTTATATTTGTTCCTTGAGCTGCTTTTGCTTTTTCTAGCGTGCCCAAAGAGCTGAGAAGGTTAAGAATTTTATTAAGAAAACAGTGAAAGAACAAGATTGTTTGCTTCAGCCAGAAGTTTCACCACAGCTAAACTGTTCAGGTAAAGCTAGCCCATTTACTTACATTTGCTTCATTATTCATTTCAGCCAGATGTACAAATAATGCCAGTTGTATTTGGCTGTGGTTCTTTTTCTCATAGTCAGAAAATAAGGATGGAGTAAAGTAAAGAGCTAGACTCTTTAAAGTGTACAATTTAGCCCTGGCTGGTGTAGCTCAGTGGATTGAGTGCAGGCTGCAAACCAAAGGGTCGCTAGTTTGTTTTCCAGTCAGGGCACATACCTGGGTTGTGGGCCAGGTCCCCAGTGAGGGCCACCTGAGGGGCAACCACACAATGATGTTTCTCTCCCTCTCTTTCTCCCTCCCTTCCCCTCTATATAAAAATAAATAAAATCTTTAGAAAATTAAAATAAAGTGTACAATTGGATGGTCATTTATATTATTCACAAGACACTGTAACCATAATCACTCTCTATTTCCAGAACATTTTCACCATCACAAATAGAAACCCCATTGCCATCCCACCCCAAACCTCTGGTGACTAATCTATTTTCTGTTTCTGTGGATTAACCTGTTCTAGACATTCATGTAAATAGAATCATACAGTATGTGGCCTTTTGTGACTGGCTTCCTTCACTTAGCATGATGTTTTCTGTGGTCATCCATCCAAACATACATACATCCAGGCATGCATCATTAGCCATTCCCTTTTGCAGCTGAATAATATTCCACTGTATAGATGTACCATCAGTTGATGGACATTTGGGCTGTTTCTACTTTTTGGCTGTATGAATTTGAGCTATTAACCTGCCAGGAACATTCATATACAAACATTTGTGTAGACATATGTCTTCAAGTACTTCAAATACATACCTAGGCATGCATCTGTAGGGTGGTATGGTAAGTCTATGTTTAACTTTCTGAGGAATTGCCAAACTTTCCTATAGCAGCTATACCATTTTGTGTTCCCACCATCATGCCTAAGGGTTCCAATTTCTCCACATAATCTCCAGGACTTATAATTTGCTATTTAAAAAATGATAACCATTCTGGTGGATGTGAAGTGGTATCTAATTGTGGTTTTAATTCTGCATTTCCCAGTGACTAATGATGTTGAATGCCTTTTCATATGCTTACAGGCCATTTTTATATCTTCTTTTAGAGAAATGTCTGTTCAAGTTCTTTGCCAATATTTTAATTAGGTTATTTTTTTTATTCTGGGGTTATAAGGGTCCTCATATTATAGCTGTTATACCCTTATTACATGCAAGATTTGTAAATATTTTCTCCCATTCTATGAGCAATAAACTGTCCATTCAGTTGATTTGTTTAGTGTTCTTTTTCCCTCTCTACTTTTGGAAGTTACACTTATTGATTAATTATTGGAAAGATTTTTAAATTAAATTTCTACATATGCACAAAGAAAAATGTCTGGCAGGAAATACTCTAAAAACAATGGTCATTTCTCATGTTAATACTTAGATATTATAATCATAAAATCTGAGGCTATTGAAATAGGAAAGAGGTATTAGTATTACTTAAGCAAAAAACTGCTGGAGCAGAAGCGGCATAAGCAGAGGGAGGCAGATCTGGCCAGAGGCTAGGGGCCTGCAAAGTGGCCCTGTAGTGAGCCCACCCACCAGCCTATGGACCAGTGGAGGAAAAAAAGCCTCCAAGCCTTAAGAAAAAAGACATAAAATAAAAAATTAGGTAAGATATGGGGGGAAGTGGGGAGATGTTGTTCAAAGGGTATAGAGTTTCAGTTACACAGAATAAATAAGTTTTGGAGATCTAATGTGCAACATGGTGATAATAGTTAATACTACATGTATATTGTGTACTTGAAATTTCTTAAGAACTGATCTTCAGTGTTCTCACTATACAAAAAATTGTAACTATATGAATTGATGGTTATGTTAATTAGCTTGATTATGGTAACATTTTGCAATGTATACATATATCAAAACATCACATTGTATATCTTTTTTCACAATATTTGTCAGTTGTACCTCAATAAAGCTGTGAAAAAAAACTAAGAAAAAAGATGATTTCAATAAAGAGTAGATATATTTTTTAGTTTAAAAATCATTTTTCTAACACAATTCTGTTTGTTTACCTTTACATAAAATTATTAGGGTTTATTAGATTATTAAAAACTTGAACTTTAATCTGCTTGAATGAAACACATTGGCTTTTTAAGTAAATATTTGATATTTATAGATAATATTGAAAATAAGTATTTTTGTTTCCTTTTGAAAGAAAAATATTAATTATACAATTTTTTCCTCCTTAGAACCTAAAACTAATGTATCTTCTTGTGACACATTACACATCAACACCCATCTTGATGAAGAAACTGGAGATGTGGAGCCTGAGTCCTTTAAACCTAGACATGGTCCAGTGGAAGGATTAAAC